CGACCCGCGCGCTGGCCGGCCGGCATGTTATATCCCCAACTTGAACACGAACATTTACTTGTGGATGTGGCGCAATGGTAGCGCTTCGGACTCACAGTCCGTCGGCCGGGGTTCGATTTCCCGTTCGCACAGCTCACAGCTTTTTTTATTTAGTTCGGAATATAAATTGGCGCAAATGACGTCACCATACGAATAATACATATTATAAATACAAACATCAAGAAGTCAAAACTATCGCCACATCTACAGCGCCACCTAGGGAGTGTTGGTCGCGGCTTTGAAGCACAAACGGCATAGTCCTTCTACTAGGAACCAGATCTCCCTCCTGACGATTATGACATGAATTTAAATATGGAATGCCCGGTCAATGATCCACTAGATAATGATAGGAATGAAATTGTTTCAAGGAATACAGAAACCTCTGATAATGACAATACTAATTGTAAGTTCACTAATATTTAACATGAGAGAAAGGTTGCTGATTTGTGTATTTGGTTTCATTAAGATTTTGTTATTTTTGAAATCAAGCTGTTTTCCACACTTCAATCTTTGTTCAGAGAATTTTCAATAAGTAGTAGAGAAGTATAAATGCATCAGTAAATACAAAATGTCTGAATCTTCACACCAATATTGATTTTTCAGAATTTTAAAATGTACCTAGGTGACAGTGAGTTTCTTCATTTCCACTTTTTTTTTTGTTTCAGCTGAATATTGTGGGAATGGTTATAAGGAACCACATCTCCATCCTGACGACAATGACATGGATTCAAATATGGAATTCCTGGTCAATGATCCAGTAGATTATGATCAGAATGAATTTTTCTGTAGGGATCCCAAAACATTCGGTGATATTATCTGTGAGTTCACTAATATGTAACATACAAAAGCATAGAGAGGTTGCTGATGTGTGTTTATGGTTTCATTGAGATTTTCTCAATTTTGAGATCAACCTTTTTACAGACTCAATCTTTCAATTCTTATAGAATAAGAGAAGTGTATATACATCAGTAATGTTTCTCTTCCTAATCTTGTTGGAATTTTTTGAGTTGGGCCAGAGATCGACGTATCCCCAATATATTTTTTTTTGTTTGATAGAAAATTCACTTTTTCGTCAACCGTCCTGAAAGTACCCAGTTTTTTGGACTCGCAGACTTCCAGGACTCGCCTACGGCTCGCCCAAAAAATAGTTTTTTCCGGACTTGTTACGTAAATAACTATGAAAGAATGAATTGGTGAAAATAATGATATGGGCAATAATCTAAATCACCAAAATCATTATAATATGAATGCTGATTTTAACAATTGGAATGAGAATCACTCCTATGAAGTTATTTAAGATGGCCAATCATTAGATATTCCTACCAACACAACATATGTTGTTGAACCAAATCTCCATTTTGATAACAATATCATGGATTCCAATTTGGATTGCCCTATCTATGATCCAGTAGATAATGGTGAAAATGGAGTTTTATTGAGGAATACAGAAACCTGTTCTGATATGGATATTGATATGGATAAAAATATGGAATGCTCTATAATTGGAACATTACATGATGACATGAATGTAATTTTGTCATCTGCTGGTAAGAAACATAATAATTGCAATTCTAATGCTATGTAACATCATCATACATATAATATAACTGGAAATTTTTATAGCCACAGATGACTGCTATGCAGTGGAAATGGATTTGAATGTAGTAAACCCTATAAGTGAACAAAGAGATGAAATGAATTTGTTTCTGAATGCAGGACCATCTGTTCATAAGGAAAGCACTTGTAAGTTTAATAGAACCAGATCATTGATTTGCTTTGTGAATCAATCTTCATCAAAAAGCCATGAAATATCTCATCATTATTCTGCATCTGCTGGATTCATTGTAGTTAGGAACCAAGTAGCAATTTATGAAAATGTGTAACTTATTGTTGAATTTCTGTTAATGAGGTTATCAGGAATGGGTAGATGAATGACTGACAGAATAAAAATCTACAGGGCGAAGTAGCATCAACCAAAAAATTAATTCCAAACATTTGCTCCTCTCAACTTATTCGAGAAAAGAAATAGATAATTACAAACATTTCAAAAATGTGTTTATATTAAGCACAGTAAAAAATAGTTATTTTTGTATCTAGTGCGCGAAATGATACTTTGGTGATCGAGAACTGATTTTTTAACGAGGCGCAGCCGAGATAAAAAATATTGGAGATGACCAAAGTATTTCGCGCACGAGTTGCTTACAAAATGTTTTCTACAAACGTCAAAAAATATAGTTCTGAAGTAGTATTATGCTTAGCTTAATATAAAAATTTAGTGTTGAACTGGCTGAAGAGGCCTCTCCCCATCCTCCCTATAGGTACGCACGATGTTTCATGAACATTATATGAATTTCCTTTCGTGCGGTCCAACAGATGAGAAAAAATTATTGATAAACATTCAAAAGCAAATGATTTCTTGGATGTTTGCTCGATTGAGGACCATAAATTTAAGATATAAAAATCTCATATAGTTTACATACAATGCGCGAAGTATGTACTTCGCGCATCGTTTTACTTCGCGCACTGCTTCGCACATGGTGTTGTGGTAACATTGGGAACTGAAAAAAGTGTCACTTCACAATTTGCTATCAATGCGCATACCTTGTCATTTTTTGACGTTTATAGAAAAAATCTATATTTTTCTCTGAAATGCATATTGTATGAATTGAATATTATGTACTCTGTAAATGGTTAGTCCAGTCATTATATCCAAATAACGGACCTCACCCGTGAATAATTTTTTAGTGTTTTTTTATAGGTGTCTCGTGGGGGTCACTGGGAGTGTAAATTCAAAATGGCGACCAAATCTAGCATTTGCGTATGTTCGAAAACTGGTTTTTTCGTTAACAAACGGTTTTTCTTGAATAACTCGGCTATTTTTGATTCTACAGAAAAAGTTTGGGAACAAAAATTGTAGTAAATTTGGTTCTCTACAAGTTTGGTCCCTACAATTTTTCTGATAGGATCGATATCTTTCAAATTAAACCTGAAAAAAGCGACAAATTCGAAATATTTTCATTATCTCGTTTATTTTCAACTTCACGGCATAAATGAACTGAAACAAACTTGTAGAGAATCAAATTTTGGACAAATTTTGTCTTCACCTGTTTTTCCGAAAATCGATATTTTCGGAATTAAACCTAAAAAAAAACGACTCATTCGAAATATCATCATTATCTCGTTTATTCTCAACTTTACACCATAAATGAGGAGAAACAAACTTGTAGAGAATCAAATTTTGGACAAATTTTGTCTCTACCTGTTTTTCCGAAAATCAATATTTTCGGAATTTAACCAGAAAATATGTACCCATTCCTCTTTTTCAATTCTGCAGGTGCAACGAATAGGGCGAAAGTTGTATACAATAAAATTTCTGAAAATTTTGGTCTACACCTGTTTTTCCAAGAATCGATATTTAAGGTCGTGGGACTTGATTGACCAGTATGCCCCAGACGCTGGCGGCACCCGGTATAGGCAGCTGTGCGAACAAAAGAAGGTGGCGGTTATAGCGTCCTTTATATACCTAACCTAAAGCGCAGTTCAGTCAGTTCGTCGAGTGATGCTCTTTGGAGCAGACGTATTTAAATAAAATGTCGATCTGTTTTGTGTGTGGAGCAGTTACTACGGAAGATAATGTTGTGACAGTGAGGAAACATGGAGTTCAGACGCTTTTATCGGCGAGCATTATTCGCGGTGAGAAAGAACACGAGCAAATGCTTCGTATTGCTGACAGCGTCGTCATGCACCCAGCGTGCCAAAAGAGTTATGCGAATAAAAAACTGGCCGAAGCACTTAGACGAAGCAATGATTCGTCTAAATTACCATCAACATCAACGTTGCCAGCATCAGAAACGGAGGTACCAACATTTGATTTTCAAAATTGTTGCTTTATTTGCAAAGAAAACGTAGATCCAGTGAGAGAAACAAGGCTACCGAAGAGCGTGCGACGTCGGATACATGTAGTTACACGCAGTGATTTTCGGGATAAGGCTTTGGACACTTTGAATAACCGCAACGATGATTTAGCACGAGAAGTAATAGCGCGTATCGAGAATGTTGAAGACTTAGAAGATGTTTCAGCGAGATATCATCACGCTTGCTGGATGGATTGTCAGCATAACGCGGTACAGGATCAAAAAGGCAGACCGGCTTCTGATGAGGTGAATCGTGCTATGGAGTACATTTTCCAGTACATTAAGGATCATTCGGATGAATGTCCATTCACGATGACGGACTTGAAGAAACAGATAGAAGGAGACTATCATCCGCACAGTCAGACAATATGTAAACGTTTAGAAGAAGAGTACGGACGTGAAATGTTAACGTTTGATGCAGCAGGAGTCGATAAGATAATTTGTTTTCGTCACACTGGTTACAAAATACTATCCAAAAACTGGTACGAGTCAAAGAAATCGAATCCGGATGAAGAAAGGCTTAGAGTTGTTCGCGAAGCGGCTGCTATTATTGTAGAAGATATATAAGTTTCGATGCACAAGACCTCCCAACTTTTGGCGATTTCATGTGGCTCTACGGAAAATGGGCCTGTGCAAGTGAGATACCAGGTTGGAACGGATTTATGGAAGAAGCCACAGCCAACCAAGCCTTTTCAAGGTCGAAGATCGTCTTCATGCCTTTTATTCATGCTCCGCCTTTCGATTACGACACAATATACACGACGCTTAACTTTGCTTTTGCGAAAAGCAAGGCTTCCGACTGTAAATCATGATCAGCCACTGTACTGGAAAGCTCGCAATATTGTTGCTAACGCCGATCCCTCGTCTGACATTGGATCTATCATCGTTCACCTCGGAGGATTCCATGCCATACTTTCGTTTCTGGGTTCTATAGGTCATATAATGAGTGGCAGCGGACTCGCGGATGCACTGAAAACCATTTATGCTGAAAATAGCGCTGAAAAGATTTTGTCGGGACATGCCTACTCAAGAGCAGTTCGTGCACATATGATTGTACATTTATCATTAGCGAAGCGCATAATGGATACGATCGAGTATGCAGTTGAAGAACGAAGTGAGGTTGACCATCTTTTAATGGACTTGGATCGAAGTGTCCTCTTCACAGCCAAGGACAACGATATGGTGAAGAAAGTTATGGAGAAATTCGACGCGGCGTTGAACCAATGTGAAAGAAACGGACCCACTGCCAAGTTATGGATCCAGTACTTTAAAATGGTAATCCTGCTGAAGCAGTTTCTAGAGGCTGAGCGTTCAGGAAACTGGGAACTTCATCTTCACACACTTAAACGAATGCTGCCCTTCTTCCATGTCGCTGGGCATTTCTTGTACGCAAAGAGTGGACACTTATACCTGCAAGATATGCAAGATCTACACACCCGAATGCCAGCAAAGGACTTCCAGAAATTTACAGCTGAAGGGTACTTCACTATAAGACGGTCCGACAAATTCTGGTCAGGCATTATGTCTGACCAAGCTGTTGAGCAGACTCTTAACCGGGAAGCCAAAATTCCTGGAGGAATGTTCCAACGTGGAGCCAGTGACAACATGGCTATAAAATGGACGATGGGTTCGATACATCTACGAATTGTTTGCGAAGGAATTGAAGACTTTTGCGGCATACACAGCGGAACCAGCGAGCAGCATGTCGATTGCAGGCCAACTCGTGTGAGCAGAGACAATGCCGATGTTGAAAAACTGGATCAGTGGTTTCATGCGCATGACCCTTTCCCAGTCAACTCTGACTTAATGTCTATTAGCAGTGGAGTAATCAGGATTGACAGCATAAATTGTCACCAGGCTTTAGAAATCGGGACGGAAATGTTAAAGAAAGTCATCGGCGTTAATTACAACGCGAACATTTGTACTCGCCGACCAGCTTCAAGTACGAAGAATCAGTTGCAACGCACATCCTGCTCCTATATGCGATCAGTGGCTGCGACACTACGTCGTCGCTTTTTAATATCGGTAATGCAAAGTTTGTAAACGCGCTTCAGAAAGCTCCAAAAATAGGTACCAGTTTGGAGCTCTTCAAGAAGCAGGACGTCGACGAACAGGTCTTGGCTAAAGCTGGAGAACGGCTTCTGATTGCTGTGTATGGAGGTGGCGAAGACGTACGATCACTCAACGAACTCCGATTCAATTGCTTCACCAAATCAGTGAGCAAAGCTAAGTTCAACCTCGCAACTCTGCCACCCACAACAGAAGCAGCAGAGCAGCACATATACAGGTCATATCTGCAGGTAAAAATGTGACTTGGGTATGAGCTGGAAGCCACCAAGTGGGGTTGGACGAGAGGTTTGGAACCACTAACAACAACCACTGCACCCGCCCCGGAAGCGCTGCTGGAGACAATTTCGTGCAAATGTTCTGTCTTATGCTACAACTGCGCTGGCAGACTTGCGATAACGTCACACAATTGCGAGCCGTCGATGACGAAGACAGTGATGATGACAACGACATCGACGATCCCGCTCCATTAACACTGAACCTTAACGAACGTGAAACTGGACATTACCAATTGACCGAAGAAGAAAGAGAGGATATGGATTTGGCAGGACCATCAGCTAAGAAACGAAAAAAAAATAGTTCCGGAACCATATTTTCACACCGACATGACAGACAAGCTACCTGCGCGGAATAACCTCTTCATTTATGCCGAAGCATTGGAGATAATGATAATATTTTGAATTTGTCGCTTTTTTCAGGTTTAATTTACAAAATATCGATCTTACCAGGAAAATTGTGAGGACCAAACTTGTAGAGAACCAAATTTACTACAATTTTTGTCCCAGAACTTTTTCTGTAGAATCCTAAATGGCCGAGTTATTGAAGAAAAACCGTTTTTTAACAAACATACGCAAAAGCTTGATTTGGTCGCCATTTTGAATTTACACTCCCAGTGACCCCCCCGAGACACATATAAAAAAAAACACTAAAAACTGATTCACGGGTCAAAGTCTATAATGACTGGACTACCATGCATTTTAGAAAACTAACATTGATTCTTTCTGTGCTTGATGAGTTGAAATAAAGAAAATGTGAACATTTGGATTCTACTCTATATCTCTAGCAAGTCCACAGTGAATGTTGAGATTTTTTTCTCCAAGAGGTTTGAAACAAACATCAAAAAGAAAAATCCACATAGTGCCATCTTCTATAGCATAGAACCAACCTAAGGGATATCATCATCTATGGGCATGCTCTTTGGTCCTAGGATTTTTACATCAACTAATAATTCTATTAAGTTTTTATTACAAAATATTATGTAAAAATTGTGGGAATTTTTGCCAAAACATTTTTCAGATAAAAAATAGAACCTTACTTTATTTTAAAGAATGACAATCACAATTACATAACATCAGAAATAGTATATTATGCAACAAGTGGGAAAAGTTCTTTTTCTACAACTGCTATGAAAATTAGCGTATTTTTCATAGCTTACTCAGTTTCAAAACCACGTATTGCTCATAGTGTGCACATTGCCAAAACCACATACATTTCCATACAAATGCTTAGTTGTCACAACTGACAGCAGAAGTTTTTTGAATTCTTAGGGTAGTTTTCATTGCTTTGATAAAAATCGCAATTTTCTTCAAAAATCATTCCAACAATTCATAATGAATAATATGAATATACTGAGAGTAGAGACGATTTTGATAATACAACGCCAGAGATAATGAAAAAAGCTGCAAAAGTTAGATTTGTTGCCAGAAATTGCAAGAAAAAGTATGAATCGGCATTCGAAAAATTCATGGAATGTAGAAAAAATACAAATATAAAATCTTTTTCGGAAAGTGTACTTCTTTGGTATACTCTGAGGAACTAGGAAAGGCGTCTACTCTTTGGTCACAACATTCAATGTTGCAAAGTGCCACAGTACCTATAAAATGGATACCAATAAGTTACATAACTTGTATTCTTTGAATTTGTGCAGTTGTAGAAAACGTATAGTGTGCAACATGTGGGGAAAAGTTGAACTTCCCTCACTTGTTGCACAATATTTTTTCTCCACATGTTGGACACTATACTTTTTCTACAACTGTCCAAATTTGAAGTATAATTGAAGTAATGTAACATTCATTTTATAGGTACTGTGGAACTTTGATTTGTTAACCTCATAATATAGTTCTATAACCCCAAGAAGATTTTTCTATCTCTTATTAGGATAATTGAGCTTTAGGGCTTCTCCACATAACGTAATATATCTGATTCATTTCATCATTTACCACATAACATAATGACAAATTTGATTTCATGTAATTTATCTGCAATGATAATTGATATAATCATTCAATTCTTCATTTCAGGTATGGATAAAGATGTGATTCGCCTAGAAAATAAAATATTGGATTTGTCAGTGTCTGAAGGGCATAAAAAAAAATATTTCTGTGGTTATTGTTCGAAATTGATCAAAAATTTTGAAAGGCATTAAATGACTGTTCATAAAAATGCAAATGAGATTGAAGAGATATAAAAATTCCACCTCCACTGTATAACTCCTAATAGAATGAGAGCTGGCTATATGAGTTTCAACGTGATTCGAGACAGGCACAATTTTCTCCTGGAATGGTTCAACACTTGAGGCGCGAGTCTGCCTGGTCGGTCTGGGGGACTCAATGTGGGGGCGAGCGGGAAAAGTTGCTGAGTTTCAAAGGTAATCAACGTCAGTATTACAGTCATGAACATTCGTGTACATATAGTATATTACGTCAGAAAGATAGTTTGAGGTAGAGTTCCTAAATGTACAGGACATTGGCTGTTTTGAAGTTTTTGTATATTGAGAGTACGTACACTCGACAAGCAGTGACAGTGAGACATAACTAAAGATGATTTCGAAGTTAATCATGTTTCGTCAGACAAGGACAAGAATATGATTTTGGTCACTCAAAATTTGGGTATATCGTTGTCTGCCATGGTGTTGTCCTCCACTTTTTGATCAGCCATTCAGCATATGAACAACTAGATTTAATAATATGATAAATATGTGCACCTAATTTCAAGACTAAAACTTATCACGTTGATTTTTCGATCATTTTCGCAACTTCGACGCGATCTGCCAACACTATAGCCCCCGCAAAACGGCCTGCCGATTGTCAAAATATCTTTCTGACATCACATATTATATGTACAAGGTAGGGTTAATGACTATGGATTTCACGCTTTCAATAGTCAACATCTTGAAAACTAATTGAGATATTGAAAATTTCATAACAGAATCTTGAATCAGATGTTTTTTTCTTTCGAATGGTGCCCTTCAAACATTATATCCCCATTCCATATACGGGGGGGATATAATGTTGGGAGGGCATCATTCCAAAGAGAAAAAACATCTGATCCAAGATTTTGTTCTGAAAAATCCAATATCTTAATTAGTTTAAGAGATATTTACTGTTGAATACGTAAAATCCATAGCCAAACACCCTATATACAAATTTTCATGACACTAATAAATGTCGCTGATTACCATAGAAATTCTGCAATTTCCCCGCTCGTCCCCACATAAGTACCCCAGACCGACCAAGCAGACTCGCGCCTTAGTGTTACACTTCATAAATGGAACCTTTCCAGAAGAAAAATGTGCTTATCTCGAGTCACGTTGAAACTCATTTAGCCCCAGCTCTTAGACTATAATATATTGAAAATAAATTGATTGTTGAAAATTCGAGATATTGATAATAAATCATGGAAATCATCCATACTCTAAACTGGTCCAACGTATTTTCAAAAGAAAAACCACAAACACAAAGTCACTCGACCACACTTTATTATATAAAAACAACAATAATTAAACAGCGACGGAGTGCCTCGAACATCTCATTTTACGCTCTTGAAAGAGTGTGGAAACACTTTTCATATTGTTAAACAGCTGAACAAAAAACATGAGACACAAATATGTTTTATGAGAGATGGAATGTCATTTTTCACTATAGGCACATTCTGTAGTTATACACAATATTAGGTCAATAGATGTATTTCCTTGTAATGAATTTTGGAATTTGAAGCTGAAACGAACATTTTGAATGTCGTCTCGTCTTTGGGTAACTCAAATAAATGTTAATCATCATTCTTAGAATTTTTGCGATACGTTACCGAACAAGATATATCCGAAAATATTTTCGCGGAGACGCCTATTCAATTTTCAGAACTGATGTTTCAAATCTGAGCATGATGACAATTCGGAAACATCAGTGGTGACAATCGTGGCCACACTATTAAAAGGGCAAAAATAGTAGATTGTTTTATTAGGATCAGAAGTGACACTTTGTTTGACAAGCGAATTTTTCATTTGTGAGGCGGAGCGTTTAGCGAAGTCGAGCGAAAGCAAAATTTGCGAAATGCACTACACCATCTGAATATAAAACAGGTATATTTCGTATTTCTACACCGCTCCTGTTTTTCCTGGGCATGTATTTGAATTGTATTTTAGGTTTTCCTTAGTCTGATGATGGCCGTTGTGCCGAAACCGGTCACTGTTTAATGGTTTTCATATAAAGTGTGGTCGGTCGACCTTGTGTTTGTGGTACTTTTCCTTTGATATTGATATTAAATTGAATTATTGGAATAATGAATCAACTTCAAGAAGTTATGAGCAATATAGTTTTGGAAACAAACATTAATATTCAAGAATCTTGTATAGAACACTGCAAATGCTTTTCTTTGTGTGAATTTTATATTGTTTCATTTCCAAGAATTCATCAGAAACCAATATATCATTAAGTCATGTTAGATATTCATGATTAATAAATTGATACCTGATGACTATATTATAAATATTTATAAGTAGTGATAACCTATATTCTATAACTGAAAATTTCAGGTCATCCTTCACGAGTACAAACAATTGCTGCTATCAGGAGGTGAGTATAATTTGAGTTCAATACAACCTCAGAATTGAACACTGGAGTTTTGATTGTCAGAAGGAGACCTTATGCCAAAAAATTCAGAGATTGCAATCATTATAGACCTTGCCCAAACTGTGAGGAAATGTTCTCAAAACTTTCACTACGATCACATGTTGCTCAGTGTGATACCAAGGAAAAAGGCAAGGAAGATATATTGGTTAGAGGTAGACAAATTCAGATGCATGTGCACGAGAAGGCTAGTACAAGGTTAGCTAAGGAAATATTAGCCCATCACAGACAAGATGTTGTCACTGGAGCCAGTTCATATGATGAATTGTGTATCTTGTATGGCAACAAATTATGTAGAAGATATCGCGATCAAAGAAACGCTCATATGTTACGTTCAAGATTGCGAGAAATTGGAAAATTCATTCTCGCGGCAAGAAGAATTGATGAGGGGCTTAAGGAACTCAGAGACATAATTCAACCTAAAAACTATGACACGATAGTTAAAGCCATCAATTAAGTTGCTGGATTTGATGAAATGACTGAAAGCTCCATCAACTGCTTACAATTTGGGATTACATATCAAAGAAGTAACTGTACTTTTGCAAACAGAAACTATAAAAGAAGGAAACAAACAGAAACGTGATGAGGTACGTGACTTGTTAGACCTAATCAATGATGGATTCAAAACTGATATCAACAAAACAGTAACAGAAAATCAAAGTGAACACAAAAGACATAAGAAAGTTTTACTTCCAACTGTGGAAGATATAAGTGCTCTAAAGAAATATTTAGCAAATGGGAGAAAGGAAGCATACAACTTGTTGGAATCGAATTTCACTTACAAAGCATGGAAAGATTTGGCGGGATATACATTGATATCTCTGCAGTTATTCAATCAAAGACGTGCTGGTGAACTAGAGAGAATCTTGATAAATGATTTCAATACCTACCAGTTCGTGGATTCTGAGGATGCTTCTCTTAGTAATTTCAAGGAAAGCATGAAGTATTTGGCGAAGAATTATGCACGATTTTTCATTAGAGGAAAGTTAAATCGCCAAGTTCCAGTAATTATTAGCAAAGAACTCATAAATTGCATTGAAATATTATTGAAAAATAGAGAACAGTATGGTGTGTCGCCAAATAATCCTTACTTGTTTGGAATCCCTGGAAGAACCCTACATAACTATTTGAGAGCATGTACTTTGATGAGATATTATGCAAGGATTTGCGGTGCTCCTAATCCAACAAGGCTAAGAGGCACTGAACTCAGAAAACAAATTGCTACTGCCTGTTCAATGTATAATTTGTCGGATCCGCTGGTTGAAGACATGGCAAATCATCTAGGACATCACATTGATATTCATAAAAAAATTTATAGGCAGTCCATTGGAAGAGAATTACCAGTTGTAACAAATATTTTATCGAGGGATCTTGGTGATGATGATGACTGTGATGAACCAACTAATATTGGTAATAATTCTGATGTAGACAAAGATTGTGATGAAATTCAGATGTTCCAAGAATTGCCAGTTCTTCTATCCCTGAAATATCCCAAATTGAAAATAACCCTCTGTTCGAAATCCACTATTTTGAATATCATTTTACGTTATTTTTTTTTAGTATATATTTTGTTCTATGAGAACTAGGGAGTTCTCAATCTTTTTTATATATATTTATAGGGAAAATATTATTGTATTTTTAATTATTCCAATTTCGCGCTAATATATGCACGATGATCCTTAATCGCCTGCGCGAGTGCCTCCGAGTCAAGGATGAGCAACGACAGCTCGCCCCACTTCGTAATTTTCACATCTAACGATGTTGAATAAAAATGGTGACGATTAGTTGAACCCGCGATACTTAACGTGTTAAGTATGGAACCTGTTCCATCCACAACGAGAGGGTCCTCTTCCTGCATTTCCTCAGGAACAGTACCGAAGCAGTGCCTACTTGAACGTCTCCGCCGATCAAGAACGCGAGGTAAGGCCATAAAGGTGAATCGTGCTCGATTACTCAAACTGAATCTAAGTGATACAATAATATTGAATCCACAACCAAAAACATACAGTCCACTAAAATTTACCTTTAGCTGAAACATTGATCCTTCAGAGCCTAGATCATTGTTTGAATAATTCAAAAATTAATTTTTTTTCCTTGACAGCAATCGCCATCTTGGTATTCTAGTTCAATCAACGAACACTAAAAAAGGCTGAATAGAAGAAAAAAATCGTGTAGTCGCAAATTTTCCTATAGTGGTAAAGGGAAGTGTCATTAACAACATACTAAAAGTCCTGACCCGTAGGGGATGAGCGCGATGGTGGGGGAGTGTTTGAAGGTCATTTTCTCAATCAATTCTTGAATAATTCGAAAATCGTGACCTCTAGCGAAAAAATATAGGTATACAAAATTGGACTACTTGAAATTTTCTATAAAAAAGTTCCTATTCAGTTGTTGTCTACAATGGATAGTTTCTGAGATACAGGGGAAACAAAAATCGGAAAGTATCATTCATGTTTGTTGTGTCACTATTGTCCTGCGTTTCATGAAATGTATACCTATAGACTGCTTCTCATCAAAAGATGGCTTTTACTATAAAAATAAGGACTGGTAGCATGAACTGATTTTGATTTTGATTTTGATTTTGATTACTCAATCGTCTGTCAAATACCTACTCTACCTGCAAAAGTTACCTATGAACAATGGCTGGAAAGTGTTTGATTTGTGAGTGTGATGTTGTCAGCAATGTATGTAATGTTGGTGAGAAAGGGATACGCGTGGATTGGTGACAACTAGAGATCCAATAGCACCTGAAGCGATACTGAACAGCATATTCTGCCGATGTTCTACTGGATGTGGAGGACGATGTGGTTGTCGGAAAGCTGGAATTCCATGCTCCATGGTGTGCGGCATGTGCCATGGTACGTTTACGTACGGTGCACCGTTACTGGATGTGGAAAATGACGATGAAGATGATGATTAATTGTTTATATTATTAGACGTATTCATTCAAATATGTCTGTTCTCAATGAGTAATGTATTTTTTCTGTTAATATTCAAGTTATTAAACTCTATTTTTGATACTTCTCGATTTTTTCATCCCCTGTATCTCAGAAACTATCCATTGTGGACAACAAGTGAATAAAAACTTTTTTATTGAAAATTTTATTCACTTCAATTTTGTATACCTATACTTTTCCGCTAGAGGTCGCGATTTTCGAATTATTCAAGAATAACTTGAGAAAATGACCTTAGAACGCTCCCCCACCATCGCGCTCATCCCCTACGGGTTAGGACTTTTAGTATGTTGTTCATGGCACTCCCCCCTGCCACTCTGCAAAAATTTGCGACTACACGATTTTTTTCCTCTATTTTTCGTTCGTTTACTGAACTATTCGTTTTTCTTCATTAACGTGAAATTGGTACCTATCAGCTATCTTTCGAGTTTTCAAATACGTAAATTGAACGCGCATGTCTGTGGTCTCGTATCTTGGTAAACTTCCGCAATCTCATCACCTCTCTCTCTCTAATTCACTCTTGGCCATTGTTTTGTTTACATTTGACTTTTCAGTTGGTCTCCTTCTCGTTGAACTACTCTTGAAAAAAGAAAAAATCCGCGAAGCTTGGAGGGGGTGGATTTCAGGACACATGTTTATGGGAAAAAAAAGTCTTATTTTGACCCCAGGAATATGTCATTGAAATATTTGTACTTATTGAATTATGTAACACCCTATATACAGGAGTGCCCAACTGAGATTCAAAAGTTTGTATTACTCCATGCGAAACCATGAATAATGAGTTGCAGCAGCACTGCGAATGAATATAGTGTTTTCCAAATTCAAATTGAATATTTGTCCAATGTGTTTTGTGTTCTGTTATTGTTAACATAAATATAGTTTTTTCCTACGACTTGCATTTTGCACTGTGATTCACCTCGAAATGTTTCACAATTTTGAGGTCCTCCAGATTTTGATTTTCAGGTAGGTCGTCGGAAATGTGTAGTATAAAACTCGTGCAGAAATTGGAAATTTCATTCATTTTGACAAGATATAAACCGCTCGGCTCATGTTTCATCTCCTCGTCGCACTTTTATGGAATATCCGATTTTTCGCACTAGTTACACAATATATAAGTATTCTATGATACCATTTTCAATTTTGTATTATTCATCATACAGAAATTTGCTTTGGAGTTCATTTTCAATATTCCTGTAATTATTATTCAAACCAGTTTTTTATAAAAGCCTATGTTCTGAAACTGAAGTTTAATTAAACATTCACAATATTATATCGAATTATTTGTTTTATTTATGTTATTTAACAAAGTGCCCCAAAGTGGAACCTGCTAACTAAATATTGATAAGATTGGTAGATGCATCATAAATTGAATTGAATATGGAAATGTATACACAGTATGTTTAACTGATATTTTTTCTGCAACCGACTCAAAAGTCGTCCATTTGGATTCCAAAACTGGATCTTGAAGTTTACGTTCTCATCAGTGACCGCTGGTATGTTACTAAGCAACATTTTTAGTTCCTAGGAGCTTAAATTGGACTTTGACTTTTTGGAACTAAAAAGGACGTTCTCTGTTGACATGATGCATGTGAACACGAATTGTGAGAAAGTGAAGTAGTCTGAGGCCTTGTCTACTCTCATACTATATTCACTCTTATCAAGTATAATAATCTGTGTTAGTGAGTCACATATTATTGGTGATCACTCCACTAATTAGATTTATTTTATTTAGGTGGTAATTCTTTAGGTTGTAGAAAAAATAGCATGTTTCATTCAGAACAAAGTGTGTCTTCTGATCCTAATGAAACAATACGCCTTTAGCCCTTTACACATATCTCGATAGATGTTCGCATCTTCAGGAAAAAATCAATAGCAGATTGTTTCATTACTTGCGAGTCAAACATATAGTCGCTTAGGGATTGTTATAACGAAATACGATACAGGGTGTGATTGGGTTATTTCAAATGATTAGGAAGATATTTCCATTCAAAATTTTCATAATATGCTCAATGACAGAAAAATAAGTTTAGATATAGCCCCGTCACACCCATTAGCCCTTTCCGGCACTGTGGAACCACCTCTTTAATATTTTTTCTTTATTTGGAACCACCGTGTCCAAAGCAATCTATACGTAGTATGTTTCACCCGCCACACAGTTTGCGGAATTTAAGTGGGGATTTAGTATCAGTAAGCAGCACACAATAGGCGCGTTTGCTTATGTGTGAAAGTGAGGTTATTCAACCTACGATTTCGATAGTGAAGATGATTTACCGCTTATAACTTTTGTCGGTCGAAAAAATTTGCAATGGACCGAAAATGCAGGTAATGCCACATCAATGCTTCCTTTCACTGAGGATGTTGGACCAAATGATCCTGAGTGTTTAGATACACCTTTGGATTTTTTTAGCATTTGTTTAGCGAAGACTTGTTGAATACAATCGTTTTCCAAACAAATTTGTATGCAGTACAAAAGCATAACAGAAACAATGTTCCAACAACAATT